CCTCTCACTTCCAACACCCTTTACTTATAGGTAGAGTTTACATCCTTTTTGGCTAGCATTCATGTTACTTTCATCCAACTAAATCCTAGATTCCTCTCAACTTAGCTGCCACATTGAATCCTAGCCACTACCTATAACCTTAGCCACCACCTATAATCCTAGCTGCCATTATCATAACTTTCCTTCATCTTTTTGCTGCCCTTTGATCATTAGTAACTTATCTAAAATAATATCTTTTACCTTTTAACTTATTCTCCATTTACTTTAACAAAAAATTAAAGTACAAGGAACTAATATCATCTACACCATCATGTTGTAGAATTTAGACTTTTTGTAATGCAAAAATTGATACCAAGTGAAGTCAAAGTCTATTAGTCTTCTTATTGCAATGAAGAAAAATGATCTTCACCTTCATTTCAAATACTATTAGCTTCCAATATATGCAGTCAAACTTAATGAGAATTTATGAGCATGTTAATTTATCAGTCAAGATCAAAGATCTTATAATGTAAGATAATAATGAAACTTTCATTTTTCTTCTTTTTCTTTACATTGAAATGTGTAGTTTTGAAGTGTTTTTGGTAAAAAATGGTCAAGGGGTAAAATTTGGAATACTGCAGCAACAGGGACGTGTTCCAATCCCGAACTATCAACTTGAAGATTAACTTTCGTTTCTCATACATAAAAGAGATTTCATGGGGTGGTTGCAGCGACAGATTACTGCATGTAACCCTGGAATCTTAGTCGACTTATGTTGCTTATGAATGCTTAATTATACTCTGTATTTCTTCTGGAAAAATATACATGGAGCTAGAAGACTCCACATTACACGTGTCTCCCCTGCACAGTTCGATGGAGAAAAGCAACCAACAGTTATGAAAGCCGAAAAACATGTACCATATACTAAATCAGTAAAACTGTAGTTGGCAGCGAACTTGCGAAGTGAAATTACTTCGCTGACATCAGGCAAGTACCTTCAAAGATTCAATTAGTGCATTCTGGCTGATATTTTTAGTGCACGATCAAGGATTGTCCAAAACAAAAGCCCCTTTACCGACTGACGCTTTAGCTACACTGCTTATTCTAGTTGGTGTGGAAAAACAAATTAGTGTGAACGCCAATAATAATTCAGATCTGTCATAATGTGGCGGCCATCCAATTGCCAACTGACGAGCAGTTCAAGATCTGCTTCCGTACCATTCAAGTGGTGAATGTGAACATGAGTTAATCTAGTTTAGTGTTGAAATGTTTTACAAGTCAAACCACATGAATTAGTGGATGTTCATTTTGTGTGGAAATCAGAATTAGTGTTGACCACACTAATTAGAATAAGCAGTGAAGTGTTTGGGACCCTCAGCAAGTTCTAGTTGTGTGGTCTTCCAGAAGGTCCAACTACACAGATTATTGTATTTCTGCACATGTTTACAACGTTGTAATTTGGTCTATAACAACATAAGCGCCTCAGTATAGAGCGAGTATCGCAGGGTATCGTACTAGTATCAAACTGGTATCGAAGGGGTATCAGACATCAATATTTAGTTCAATTTTCGACAATGAAGTATCAGACTAATTTGGGCAGTATACAGTGAAATCTACACGTTATATCAACTTGAACTTTGTTCTAATTCTAGAATTAGTCTCATATTTTATTATTAGTCTGAATTGCAATAAATAATACAATCTATGCACAGAGTGAACCCGTGGACTCATGAACTCATCATCATGGCCACCTTTTTTTCATTATTTGAAAATCGGTATTCACTTTCGGCTCAGTGGTGGCATCATGACTTAATTGGCTGTTAGCTATCTTCACTAGAATCCTTTGTGCCAATGTGCCCACCAATTAGTAAGTTAGTGGGATGCATCTTACTTTTCTAATTCCATCGCCATGTGGAGTTAACTGCATGCGTCAAAAAAGATGCCAGTTTTGGCCCACGCTATATCCAAATTTTGGTGTGAAAGAGGACAGAACAATGCAATTACCGACCTCTTGTGTTACACTTTCACAAACAACAATGTCTAATGCCTGTTGATCACTACTAGAATTAAGGGGTTTAAGCCATGTCTTAATCCCCTAAAATTCTATGACTGTGTTCCACCAAATAATACCCTGAAATTGTCCTTTTGAATTCTTGGACTTGAAATGAAAATAAAAAAATTAAATTAAATCTTCAGCAGTAGGATCTTAATTTAGAGTATTATGACAACAAGTGGTAATTTTTTCAAATTTTTGCACTGTATGGATTGGAAGATTATAGTGTTTGAAGTGGAAAACATAGTTGTTTTTGGAGCATACAAAAAAGGATCAACACACTTTGTTTTCTCTTTAGAAAATATCTTTTGCATCTTTTTGGTTGAGGAGACTTGACTATATAAAAATAGACCACATCAGATATACTTTCTCCAAATTTCAAATGTAACAAAAGTATGTAGCACTTTAAAAACAGTCTTGCAAGTAGAAGGGGTTCAAAACTTGCTAATTTGCTTTTTTATTTTATTTTTTGTAAATGGAGGATCTTGAAAATTCAAAATCCAAACAGTGAGAAAAAAGTTTCATACTTCTTTTCAAAGTGGAAGAAGAAAAAATGGAAAAAGAAAAAAAAGAAAAAATCTCCATATTTTACATGGCATAGAAGAAGTTTTTTTGCACCCTACCTGGTATGATGTGAAAACTTTAATTCTTTTTAAATGAAGTTTTCATTTCAAAAAGTAGTTTTTTTCAAGAGTATCAAATAGTATGATATTAGCTTCTTATACAAAGGTTCTCATAGATAATGAAGCAATTTAGCTATGTTGCCTGAGCTGGCCATCGAATAGGAATTTTTGCTTAGGGCATCATAACTTTTTTTTCACAATGTCCAAATGATTAAAAGAAAATAGATCCCCACGAAGCTCTGACATTCTCACATCTTCAAAAAACGTTTCAATAAAATATATACTTAAAATTGACATCACAAGAACTTGACCAAATTCTCAAAAACCCATTTTGGGACAATCGTCTTTTAGGGTTAAATCAATGAAAAGGGAAATGTTTTGTACAAAACACCACATTAAAGTTGTAGCTTCTTTAGAAAGTAAACCCCTTTTCATTACCTTCAAAACGTTGCTTAGACCCCCTCATTCTTGTAGTGGATTTTACGTATCATTTACTCATAAGTTTGGTGGTATATCACAAACTTCAGCAAGTAGCAAATGTAGTCCTCATATCCATAGATTTGTTTGTGAAATGCTGCCATGTGCCAAAGTTACCAGTATCTTGATGTTGTTGATATAAGAGCTCCTCCAACAATGACCTCAAACCCCCTGCCAACAGATATTGTGCATAGTATAGCAATTCTATTTATTATCTAAGTGCTCCACCGGGTCCCACAGTATGACAAGTAGAGCACCCTCCATGTAATAATTTGAGGCCAACCCTCAAAGTTAGCATTCGCACTCCAAATTTTAAAGGGATACTCATTACTAATTTTGACTTGATCTTATCTTTCTGAGGACCATGGCTATGGATCATGGTTGAAGATCATTCTAAAATCATATTGTAGAAGCTATAAGGAAGGTCACTTTAAGTTTCCACCTCCCATAACCGGTGGAGCACTCCTAGAATCCCCTCAAAACATTTATTTAGCGTTACTTAACCCCTGAAGAGCAAAGAGTCCCGAGATGGGCTATTGCAAATCTCGGGCAGGTTCTTATGATTACGATTTATAGTTTCAGGTCTTGAAAATTTGTATGAAGATGCAAGAAGAGCTATGCGGAAATATAATTTTTATTCTCATCGGAACTATAGAATAAAAGTTATGCCATCCTTAAAAAAACGTGCCGAGGGCAAGCTACTCCAAAAAAATTCTCCATCCCTCCATTCAATGTGAGATTTTTTATACAAGTAAACAACATGATTTTTCTGGAGTTTTTCAAAAAAAATAATCTTCCATAATGTAAAACTTTTACTCCAAAGGGAGTCAAAGTTTCCTCTCATTTATGGGCAAGGTGCAAAAAACCTTTTTCATTTCCACATAAAAATTAGAGATCTTGGTCTTTTTCTCATTTTATTTTTTCTACTTCAAGAAGAAGCATGAGACTTTGTTTTTACTGTTTGGATTTCCAATTTATGAGGAAAAGAATTCATTTAAAATTAAAATGTGTTTTTGCAATTCCTGAGACTCATTTCATTGCACAATTTTTTTGAAAATGCTTCCTTGATCCTCTACTTCTAAAAATTGGTGTGCAAGGAGCTAACATCATGTACAACATAATGGTATAAAATTAAGAGCTTGTATAATGCAAAAATTTGACACAAAGTGAAGTCAAAGTCTGCTGGTCCTCTTAACGCAGGGATGAAAAAATGGCATTTTCCTCACTTTAAACACTAAAATCTTCCAATCCATGCGGTCAAATGCTATGAAAATATGTGAGCTTAGAGGTTTAGTAATACAGATTAAGATCTTACGGTTGAAAATGGAAACATGGACTTTCGTTTTCTTTTCTACTCTTTGCACCAGAATGGGCAATTATGAAGTGTTTTTGGTAAGAAATGGTCAAGGATATTAAGGAGTTAAATAAGACCCTCCAAGCATGCTTTACCTAATTGTGCAAATTATCTTAAGTGGGAAGCGAATTTTACTACTACGGCTTTGAAACTGCACAGCTGCATGCACGGAGTCCTGGGGGCTCTGTGCCGCTTTTGCAACGAATTCTTTTCCCTTAAAAATTGGTACTGGGCTTTTCCCCAGTTGCATTCGACAGGTACGGTAACATTAAATAAAAGGAAGACGAGAAAGCTCTAACGTCTCCAGTTTTAGAAATAGGAGCGTCAACTTGACCGACATTGCCAATCCAGCAACAACACTACTCGAAAGGCATCCACTTCCTTAAACCAATGCAATACCAAGGTGATATCGCTCCAATACACTGGTACTACTACCAAGACACCCGGTTTATACCCAGGCTTCAAGGCTCCCTATGACTACAACCATGACACACTCCTTATATGGACTCTCCCAGCTCTCCCAGCCCATCACTGCTTTCTCTATTTCCTCCACCGCCACACCATCCCTCCTTCCTCTGCTTCCTCCACACCTGCAGACCACCTCCCTCACCAGTGAAGTAGCAGTGCAAGCACCATGAGGTCCTCCACATCATCATCAGCAGCAGGGTGCGCCTTGGCAGTGCTCATGGTGGTGATGCTGGCGCAGCAGGTGGAGGCCGGAGTCACAATCATTTTGGGAGGTGCAGATATTGGATGAACCAATAAAGCCAATATCGACTACGACCAATGGCTGTCCAATTACAAAGTCAAAATCGGCGACACTGTCGGTAAGTTACCTCCAATCGATTACTACTCAAACTACTATATCAGTAATATGTCGCCCTTCATTGATCTCATCTGCGTGGCCTGCTTCCAGCACCCAGACTAATACGTCAATAAGTTGCCGGATCTTATCTCATCAGCAGGCTGACTGATATACTTGATCTCCTCATGATCCTTGCAGAATTTGGCAACAACGACTCCACTGACCACACTGTAGTGGTGGTGGACAAGGAAGGATATGACACTTGTGGAAAATCAGGAGTCAAGTACGACACTACTACCGTCTCTCTTGGATATCTTCTCCAGGTAATTTAATCCGTAGAGATCAACTCATCATTTTGGCGTGAGTCTGCTTGTTGCTTTATCTGACCAACACAGCGAATCTTCTTGTTACTAATTTGGCAGCCTCATTTTAACGCTGCCCCTCATTTTGGTAGACTGATTTGTGCTTGATCTGATCCAGTGTATTTCACATTAATGGTTAGAGAGGGTTTTCTAAAATGCCCAGATTAGGAGACAAACATCAGTGTATAAATGACCATAAAAACGGCTGTGAGTTTGATCGCCTGCTCTCACATGCACAGTGAAGCTGTTCCTGATGACACGAAAAATTCATTAAATGTTGTTCCCCTGAGCCTTGATGAAACTCCTGATTCTCACCAATATCTTACCTTGAAAGACATGATCTCTAACGCCATTCCTGTAACGTCACTGATTGTACATCGAGATCTGATAGATTGGCGTGTTATAACTGCAGAGAACCTATAAGGAATCCGGGGACTACTACATCATCTGCGACATTTCCGCGCACTGCCTGCAGGGCCAGAAGGTGTACATTCAGGTGCTCAACGAGGACGGTACCATCAACACGACCGACACGCCCAAAGACCCAGAGCGCCCGAGCGCTGCGCCGCATCAGATGCCCGGATTCACCTGGACTTCCAAGCTGGTGATCGTGGTGGTGTCCGCTTTCTCCTTGATGATGGCTGCAGCTGCTTCCATGTGAAGAAACTGATCCGGGTCAGGTTTTGGTTAGTCATTGTTCTTGTAGGTGCCGAGAAGATTGCTTTGCATTGATACTGATGTGAAAGGAGGGCGAAGGTAGTCTATTTTTAGCTCATTTGTTCTACCATACCTGCAGTTCCTATTCACTGGCAAGATTTCTTCTATATAGTAATTTTTGTCCCGCATTGCTTCCATGTGAAGAAACTGATCAGTACAAGGTTTCGAACTGTCATTATCCTTGTGGCTAGGATATGTAGTCAATGGGTATATACTGTGGCATAGAGAAGATTGATCTCCATTGATGCAGATTTAATATGAGGGTGAAGATAGACTCCATTTGTCTCCCTTGTTCCTATTATTTCTATTTTATAAAGCAGACGTTTTGTGTAGGTGCTTCCTCACACTGCTTGAGAAGTTTCCACACCTCAACTGAAAGAGAGTTTAACCTCTAATAGCCTTTCAAACGTGGGAGTCTGACTTTAGATCAACGTGTTGCGCTTAATTGCAAGTTGAGCTAGATCTGTGTGGCTTTAGTGAGGTATTAGGTCCTTGATTTGGAGCTTATCTTTGAAGCCTAAGGATGAAAATCTAAACTAATAGGAGGTTAATTGGAAGGAATGAAAGCAAGGCATGGTCGGATGAAGGCAAAGAATAGGAAACTTCATCCCTATTGGTCGAATACCATATCCAATGGGCTTTGAGGAGGCTGCCCGTGACCTTAAGAAAGGTTTTGGCGACTTCAAAGAGAGCATTTGGAGATTAGAGGCTAGGGTTATAAATTTTAGGGTTTGGGGTACAATTTATGTACAAAAATTAGAGGATTTGGAGTTAGGGTGAAGAAGTAAGAGCCATTTGAAGTTAAGGTGTTAATTTAAGATATATTGTTACTCCTTTGAGAATACGAGGAGTTGTACAGTAGCTTTTGAAGTTCGAAAGGTGCGATTAGAACGATGATTTTAAGATCTACATCTTTTATGAAAGAATTATTGCTTTTGGAATTCATATGAATGAGTTATAAGGAGTTGAAGACAGTGCTTTCAAATCAAAGGCAGTAAGTAAGCAATTTTGTTTGTAGTAATGGTTGGAGCCATAACTTAAGTTTTTAGACGAATTTTTGGCTAAAACTTTTTGGAGAATGTAAAAATTGGTGTTAAAAAGCTATACATACAAATTTCGTGGCATTTGAGCTTATATTTTGTGAGATATGAAGAAAATTGCACTCGGGTGTATAAAGACTAGGGTTTGAAGCAATTATTAGGGTTTTCAAGATATCTCAAGATCCGCAATGAATTTGCGGTTGATAATTGTTATAAATGTTAATAGAAATACATCAGTACGTCATGTAAAATTTGGATTTGTTTGGACGGTCGGATTAAGATATATGAGGTATTAAAATTCGGAAAAATCTCTACATAAGATAAACAAGGGTTTAGAGGATTTTATCATATTTTGGTGTTGGTTGCTACTTAAGGCTTGTGTATTTGGTGTGATTGCTAAAAGGAAAAACCTTATGTATAAACTTACGGCTTCCCTTATTTTCAAGCTTGATTGAATAATTAGTGACAGCCAGAAGCCTAGCGTTTCTTGAGGCAAACTCTCTCTACCCCGATACCGGATTCACCTGGACTTCCAAGCTGGTGATCGTGGTGGTGTCTGCTTTCTCCTTGATGATGGCTGTAGCTGCTTCCATGTGAAGAAACTGATCCAGGTTAGGTTTTGGTTTGTCATTGTTCTTATAGGTGCTGAGAAGATTGATTTACATTGATACTGATGTGAAAGGAGGGCGAAGGTAGTCTATTTTTAGCTCATTTGTTCTATCATACCTACAATTCCTATTCACTGGCAAGATTTATTCTATATAGTAATTTTTGTCCCGCATTGCTTCCATGTGAAGAAACTGATCAGTACAAGGTTTCGAACTATCATTGTCCTTGTGGCTAGGATATGTAGTCAATGGGTATATACTGTAGCATAGAAAAGATTGATCCCCATTGATGCAGATTTAATATGAGGGTGAAGATAGACTCCATTTGTCTCCCTTGTTCTTATTATTTTTATTTTATAAAACAGACGTTTTGTGTAGGTGCTTCCTCACACTGCTTGAGAAGTTTCCACACCTCAACTGAAAGAGAGTTTAACCTCTAATAGCCTTTCAAACGTGGGAGTCTGACTTTAGATCAACGTGTTGCGCTTAAGTAGAAGTTGAGCTAGCTCTGTGTGGCTTTAGTGAAATATTAGGTCCTTGATTTGGAGCTTTTGCATGGTAGCAAATATCGAGTATACAGAAGATTTTATGGTAAACTTTGAAAGTCCGTATCCATGGATCAACTTATTTGTCTAAAATCAGTCTTTAGGACCTTGCCACTTTTCCATCATGAAGTTTGCAAAGTACACTGAGCAGACATTTGCCCTTTACACTAATTATAAAAATTTCTTATTAGCTGATCTAGTAGTGAAGAAAAGATGTGAGAGGCTATTGTGCACTAATATTGGATAAAGGAATACACTTCAAAACTACTCTCTGTAATGCAAATTAAAAACACTCATACATAATGGTCTTTCTTCATTTTTGTCCATATGATCTTGTTGAATGCTACTAGAAGAACATATTTGAATTTTTTATAGAATTTTTGACTGCATGGATTGGAAGATTATAACATGTGAAGCAAGTTTCATAGTCTTTTTGCACCTTGGTTTTACATAGTCAACAGACAATGTTTTCTTGATAATATGGAATTTTTATACTATGCAAATTTTCCATTCTTCACCATTACAATCTATGTGATGTAAAGTATTCGTTCAGCAAACTTTACATATATTGAAGGTGTATATCATATTCAAAGCAATCTTGCAAGACTAAGAGGTCCAAAAGCAAATGAAACACATTTTATTTTTTTGTGATCTCAAATTCACATAGAATCTTAATTCAATCGGTTAACTTATAGATTATTATGACTTCTTCAGGTGAAAAAATTGAAAAAAAAGAAAACAACAAAAATCCAAAAATTTGTGCTTATAAATGTAGAAGAAAGAAAAAAAAAATTGTACAATGTCCTAAAAACTTTGACTCCTCTTGGAGTGAAAGTTTTGCACTATGGAGAGTTTATTTTTATAAAATCTAAAAATAAGCTATATTAGTTAGTTATATACAAAATTTCAAAGATATTGGAATTTGGAATTTTGGAGGAACTTAGCAAACTGCCCAGATTGCTCGCTTTGGCTCAAAAACTGCTTTGAATAGTATAACTTTTTCATCAAATGTTGAGTTTATAAAAAAATTAAATTCCTACAAACTTCTTATATTTTTGCTTCTTCAATAAGAATCTCAAAACAATTTGTTAAAAATTGACATTATTGGAACTTATCCAAATGTTTAAAAAATCCATTGGTGGGTTTTTAGGGGTTTAGCCCAACAATTGGTCCTTTAGGAGTTAAAGAGTCATCATGTAAGCATCCCTTGTAGTTACTAACAAACCAATGTTTAACTAAAGGATGGTAGTCCTTTAGGGGGATTTTTGAGAGTTTGGGCAAGTTTTGTCATGTCAATTATTGATGAAGATTTATGAAATTTTTTCTTAATGTAGGAAATAATAAGATCTTTGTAGGAATATGATTTTTTTGTACTAGAAATTTTGAAAGATATTTATGGTGCTTGAAGTAGAAATTGCTATTAATTGGATAGTTTGGATAGCTATACTACATACTTTTGTCACCTTTGAGATTTTTAATACAAATATCTAATATAATAATTTTGGAAGTTTTTTCCAAAAAAAAAAAAAAAAAAAAAAAAAAAAAAAATCTCTTTAATACAAAAATTTCATTCTACAAAGACTCAAAGATTTCTCATCCTATCATGTTCAGAGCAAAAAGACTCTTTCTATGCTACATAATAATTTTTTTTTAAAAAATAATTCTCATTTTTTAATGCTTCAAGTAGAAGCATCATTCTTTAATTTGGCTATTTGATTGAGATTTTGCAAAAAAACAATATGGGAATTTGTAATCTTGTGCATTCAATCCAATTTGAATTTTGTTATCAATATACTAAACATGTCTTCTAAGCTGATGACTTGGTATACAATTAGTTAACTTAGTCACCTTTATCATGGGCCAAAATCTCCAATATCCATAGTACAGAAATGTGTAAAGGGAATTAAAGCATGTTGTCTTTGTCTAATATAGTACAAAAATGATTATTTTTAAAATTCAAATGCTATAAAATTTCTATTTGTAAAGTTAATTTTGATGGTTTTTTTTAATCTATTATGCTAGCCTAGTAAAAGATTCTATGTTTGAAATTGAAAAATAAATTTATTTTTTGTTCATTTATACTCTTTGCATTACAAACGATAGTTTAAGAGTGTTTTTTCAATGAAGCATAGTGAAGGAATTAAAGGGATTAATCATAGTGATGAATTTCTTTTCTAACAAGCTATTGTTCTACAATGGTTCTAGAACAAGACATGTAATGTGAGTTAGTCATCTCTGTCTCTTCATATCTTATTTTCAAATTTGTTTTGATTTTTATGTGACATAAAAATTAGTACAATTTCTTATTATTCATGGAACTTATTGTAATTTAATATGATAGATCTTATTTTTTAAAAATTAATAATAATGAATTTTAAAAAACATACATACCTTCTGTTGCAAGTTTTTAATTGTAAAGTTGAAGGCCAATACACATTATTTGTTGAATTCTTTGCCTGTGTACAATAGTTTATTCACCATTGGATCCGTTTTAAAAATCACATTGTAAAACTTTATTGATCCTTTTCCAATTTTCAATTTTTTTACAATACATGCAAGCAAAAAGACCTGTAGTGGCTTTTTTGAACTAGAAGGCAAATTCGCATTTGGAAAGCTTCAAATTGACATATAATAATTTAAGCAACACAAATACATAATCTGTGATGGTTTTCAACTTTTACCAACCTTATTTAGCTACAATGATGTACCATAATTAGAGTACAAGTAGCTTATATGAATAAAAATGTCAACAAAAATGAGTTTTTTCATTAAAAAAAATTATCCAACAATCTAAACCAAGGTCAATGTGATTTATGAATAAAAATTGTACCTTCAAAAGTACAAGTAATTGGAAACATAAAAATGATGCCACATTTTTCATTTGTTGTTACTTTATTCATTCACTAATTCCACATTTTGAACAAATTTTGTTGATGAGATATTTAGCAATATTTAATATAAGAATTAATAGGATACATGATTTTTTTTTTTTTTTTTTTTTTTTTTCAATTCTCGTTTGGAAATAATAGGAAGTTTTATTAAAAATTTTGTTCATAAAAAAATATAGTATAGTTAATCCCAAGAGGATTCGCATGTCATTTTTTAACACTTTGGATGGCTGAAACTTTGCGGAGCCGTTTCTCCTTCATCCACTGTTGGATTTAAATGAAATTTGTTGGATTGAATTTCAATTTAAGTTTGG